AAGACTTTTAATTATTAAAATATTCTTTGTAGATATTTAATTTAGTAAAATACCCTGTTGCTGTAATTATAATTTAGTTGTAATTATTTTAGATCACAAATCCCGTTATGTGTAAGTTGTGTCTGTTCATGTATCTTTGATCTTAGGGAAGCGTCTTCTTGTTCCTGCTTCAGGTGGTTGGTTTGGAATTAACTGATCTTTGTGAAACTTTACAGTAATTCTCAGAGGTTGAAAGCTAGGCATTTCTAGATTCACACAGCCTAAGTACTGCTGATCTTCCTGTTCCATCAATACCTACACAATTTAAGTGTTTTTTTTTTTTGTTTTTTTTTTTTAATTCTCTTAGTTTCACAGGTTGTTGTTAAGTGCCATCGAGTTGGTTCTGACCCACAGCAACCCTGTGTAGATCTTCCGAGGAGCAACTGGTGAGCTTGAATTGCTGACCCTGAGGTTCAAGTACACTTTATAGTTCAGTGCATTAATCCACAGTGCCACACAGGTAGATGCAAGGAAATGTACCAAGAAGCAAATTCCTTGTACCAGTAGCCAAACGAAGAAAGAGATACTGGTAAAAATCCATAGAACTTACTCAAATTTCACCAGGTACACATGTACTATATGGACTTCACCAGATAAAATACACAGGAATCAAATTAACTACATTTGCGGAAAAGGACAGTAGAAAAACTCATTATCATCACTCAAAACAAGGCCAGGGCCAACTGTAAAACAGTTCATCAATTGCTCATGTGCAAATTCAGTGTCAGTTTTATGATTAATACATTATTGCATGATAGAATTTTGCAAGACCAATGACTTATTCATTGCAAATATCTCTTTCCAACAACATAAACATCTGCCGTGTACATGGACCTCACCAGATGGAATGTACACCAAATTGATTACATCTGTGTGAAGAGACAGTGTAGAAAATATCAGCCAAATGAAGCCAGAGGCAACCTGTGGAAGAGACCATCAATTGCTCCTATGCAAATTTAGACTGAAACTTACGAAAAAAATTTAAAGTGAACATAAGAGCCAAAATATCACACTTGAATATAAAGACCATCTCAAGAACAGATTTGTTGCATTAGACACTAATGAGCTCAGACCAGAAGAGTTGTCAAATGACATCAAGAACATCATACAGAAATAAAGCAAAAGATCATTTTAAAAAAAAAAGGAAAGAAAGAAAACCAAAATGAGTATTAGAGAGACTATGAAACTTGCTCTCCAGCAAATAGAACCTTAAGCAAATGAAAGAAATTAGAAAGTCAAACAGCTGAACAGAAAATTTCAAAGGGCAGCTTGAGATGACAAAGTCAAGTATTATAATGAAATGTGCTAGGTAAGACATGGAGATAAAAAAACAAAAATAAAGAACATGCTCAGCATTTCTCAAGCTAAAAGAACTGAAGGAAAACTTCAAGCCTTGATATGCAATATTGAAGGATATTCCATGTGCAAAATATTGAATGGAGCAGAATCATTATACCAAAAGGAAATTGTCAATGTTAGCTGTTTGTTTCAAGAGGTAGTAAAGAACTGATGGTACTGATGGAAGAAATCCAAGCTTCAC